ATATTTTCCTGCCCCATGTGTCTGTTTTTAATTTGAATCTGCCTGTGACCATTGCCCACCTGATTAAGTTAAATGTGACCAGTAGGCTCCTCTGGTAAAATGTCAAGATACTTCTGCTGTGCAAAGAAAGATGCCCGTCAGCCGTTCCCTACCACTGTACAAGTACAGAAGGAATGCCCACACAGCAAGAACCATTCACAGCAATGCTTCGACAGCCTCTGGGACCTCATTCTCCTATTTCAATACATGCTGGGTAGCAAAAAGCCTACAGACTTTCCAGAAAGCTCTGTGATCAGGAAAGCTCATTATTTTGAAAACTGCCTTTTTGACACTGTCTTTTGAAGACCTAGTTCTTGCAAAGCAGAAATGTAAAGCTGACCAGGACTGCCTCCAGGACACCAGACTCTGACTGTCATCTCTGGGAACAGACCCAGCAGACTGCACTAGTGCAAAAGAGCACAATAGCTACTATAAAATAGCAAATATGTTTTCAATTCAGAAGGAAACAATCAATTGATCACACCAAGAAGTCACATCTACTCATACCAAGGGGACCTTCAAGGTGCTGGTCTGGATTTCTTAAGGTGCTTAATAGTGAAGGACCCACCTCGGTAAGCAGTGCTCTTTTTACTCCCTGTGTGTGACTGAGGAAATAGATGGGCAGAGCTACTTTTTCACTTAATTTTGATTTGTTTTTTTACAGTTGCTCTAGAGCTGCGCTCCTAGCACAGCCTGACACAGGGTCAGTCACGGAGCTGCTGGGAACTGCACGTATAGCAGCTAGGTCTTATTCATGAAGTATCTGAGGTTCTCATTTCTTAATGTTTACCTTACACATGTACTCAATGACGAAGGAAAAAAGAGGCTTGTGCATTTCTATTTGTTAGCCTGATTTTCAAAGTCTCTTATCACCTACATGCTCTCTGTTGTGTTCCAAGAAATCTCTGAGTGCTGAGCACTTCCAAAGAGCAGGTGAAGAGTGCACATTCCTACATAGAGAGTCTAACTTGCAGCAAATATTTAAATAATGACATTAAAAACAGGGACAAATTTAAAGAGGTTCTGAGAAGGTCTGAGAAATTATTGCTGCTAGTGAGCATGTAAAAGTTTCCTGTGAATGCTTTACAGAAAATTCACTAGGGAAAAAAAGAAAAAAAAAACAAAAAACAAAAAAGAGGTGATCTGAGTGCAGTGCAATGTCACAAGACAGCTACACACACTGACATTACAGCATGGGGCTGTCAGTTAAACAAAAAGCAGCTAATTCTGCAACATGAAACTACACAGATGCATAAAGGGTAAAGAGAACAAAAGCAGAAGTTTGCATGCTGCCTGTTATGCACAAAAGGAAGAACGATTTCAGTGTTTACTGTAACTGTAACTGGGGGAGCACAGCTACCCCACAGCAGCTCAGGCAGGACTGCAGAGGGGAAAAAGTATTCTAGAAACATAACAGGGATTTCCATATTACTTTCACTGCTGTTACAATATTTTAACATTTAAAAAAAAAATTAAAGTTATCTCTAATGATCCCAGCGTCAAATAATGAAATAACATTCCTATAAGGGAACAACTGAAGTCTTTCAAAAGATGTTCAACACATAGAAGTGATGAACAAATGTGAGATACAGATGTGAGTGAATCTGGAGCAGACTGGAAATTTGAGAATTAGGCCTTTTTGGATGTTGCTCTATGAAAGCAACTGGAACCTTGCCAGTGATGGGAGAAAAGTGCACTTGGCCCATGTGGTAAAGGACTCATCGCTTTCAGCTCATTAACTCCAACAGGAATCAGCCAATAGCACTGGATCCAGAATGAGTTCTGTTAGGAAATAAGCTGAAAGAATACCTTAGAGAATGACTTCCAACAAGGACTCTCCATAGAGAGAACTTTGCCAGAAGATGGCTTTGAAGACATAGGCGGGCTAGTATGGATGATGAATAAAATGTTCTCATTCTGTACAGTAGCTGAGGTTACAGCTGGTAAGCACCTCACCAGCTCTGGCACCGGAGTCATGACACACAATGGATTCAAAGCCATAGGAATTCACGAAGCCTTGAGCTCAGACAAGGGCCAAAAGGCTCTCGCTGAAGCAGAGATGCCAGGGAGCCAGAGGCTTGACAGCACAGGACAAGTATGTGACAGCATCGCTTAGACAGAGGGAGCTCTGCAGGAGCGGCAAGACTCCTGAAACACAGGTGGCTTCAACAAAGATGTGGGCAAGCAGAGCTACCAGATAAGAACCAGAGGCAAATTCCCACTAATTGTACCTCTTCAGGTGAAAGCAAACTAATCAAAAGCTCACCTTCTGCTCTGTGACCACAGAGCCGTATGAAGATGTAAGACAGCCTTGTCACTCAACAAAAAAAGACTGATATCTGTAGTGACTACAATAGTAAAAACTTGCACCAAGTGTGTGAGCCCACCTGCCACACGAAGCGAGATGACCCTTAAGCTCAGTACCTACAGAGGCAAGAGACTTACTCTCCTATTCCTATTAATCAGTTACATTGCAACATCATCATGCTTTTCACATGATGATGAACGTAACATGTTAACATAACATGAAGCTTGATCTTGCTCTGCAGAAGCAGCTGTTTAGGATGAGCTATTGCATGAGGGAAGACTGGGTTCAACTGCATTTTTGCAACTCAATGGAAGATGAATAGAGCAATGCTGAAACTCCCAAAGTTACCTTGTTAGGAACGAACACAAGGGTAGGCGTCCACGCTTCCCTTCAAACATGCCACTACCTTCTTTGAAGATACTGTCCGTTCAGAAGCACAGGGGTTCCAGTACTCCCTGACTTGTAAGGCATCACACTGTCCAGGATCTATCAGCCAGAGAAGTCAATGAACCAGGTAACACTGATCCCACTGTCTGCAGAGTCATATCACAAGGGAGTATCATCTTTTGCAGGAAATAAGCTGGAAACGATCTACAAGCAACGGCAGAACTTCCCTGACATTTCCATCGATTACAGATGAAAGTCTTGTTGTAGAGGAAGCATCTCACCCATTGCAGAGCAGCACCGTGCGAGAGTTTGCTGGGCCTGGTAAAGATTAACAGCCAGGTACAAGTGCTCTCCTCAGATTATGGAAGTGAAAAAGACATACAGACTCCATCAAGAGAATTATCGTTCTGTGCAGCTTACACATTCCTGCAACATTTCAAATGGACCAAAAGCTAGAAGTAGGAAAACTGTCTGGAAATAAAACAAAAGGCAAAAAAAATTTACCAGAAGATACAACTGAGAATTGAGAGCAGCTTAAATACACCTTAATAGAGGAACCAAAATACATTTCAGTCCTCAGAGAAACCTGTGCTAATGGACAGTATTTCTAGTCCAAAATAGATAAAATAACAAACATCTTTAAAGAAAGAGGAAAAATTAAGTCTCATAGATAAAGATTATTTCAGATACTTATTAAGGAGAATACTGTATAAAGTGCACAACTAGCTTGGTTTTGCAATCAAAACAAGAATGTGGTGAGGTGTCGTCAAGATTGCTCATTTTAATTTATAATACAGCTTAGAATACAGGGGTTGACCTGAGATGCAGCTCTTAAGTACTCCAGTTATTTTTGGCCACTGAAGTTTTGAAAGCTCACCCTGCACCTGTTGTTTAAAAAAAAAAAAGAAAAAGTGCCCGTCCTCCAAAGTGCATGGTAGAGATAGGAAAAGTATACATTGGTATGCCAAAAAAATTAATAGGACAGAGAGTGAATCAATAGGAAGACTGAAAAAGAGAGATCATCACGAAACTTCCCTGCTTGAGCAGCAGAAGAGGAGTCCAGGGAAGTGCATGTACTGCAACTGAGCTCAAGGACTACACAACGCTTAGGCAAACCGTGTTTCATTTGTATTGCAATGGTCTTTGCAGTAACCTAGAAGAGACTCACATAACAGTGTGCTGGATGCTTCCAACATCAAGAATAAAATAGTAGTCACAAATTCAGAAGTGTGTAATGGAAGTGCAGTATGGGAGGTGTCACACCAGGAACAGTGATCCTGAGCACGCAGTGGTCATGGCATTGCACTTGCCAAGGTGCAAAGGTTTATAAAGGTTAATGACGCAGCAGAGAAGTGGATTGTGGAGGCATTTGCAAGACAGGAATGAATCTATACTGGTAAAGAGATGGTTGAGAAAAAGGGAACGATAAGAAAATGCAACAGAATTCAGTTTGAAATAACAAACCAGGAAAATAATCACTCAGCAACATTAAAAATGTGTTTCAGATAAGACTTCTCTGTGTCTCAGTTTGTATTTGTAGAGGGGAATATTAATTCTCAATGATCTAACCACAGCACTTTGAGGCTGGTGAACAAAAACCTAGAATAGTAATAGCACAGAAGAAGGATGCAATTTTGGTGCTGGGGAAAAAAGGATGGTAACAATGAGATAAAGTGGAGCATAACTGTGGATCAAATGAAAGAGTATGGTTTGGGAAATTGTAGGTAACAACACAATAAACACTAAGTAAAGGCCACAGTGATGAGAATCAAGGTTTCTGCTGGATCTAAAGCAAGAATCTTAAGAACCTTTGCATTGTATGAAATGCTAAAAAATGTATTAACAGCAACACTGAATAATCAATCAGAAATAACAGCAGCAGCAGCAGATGAAAACCTTTTCAAAACCAGTCTCCAAACTACATAACACTATGTGCCAAGAGCAGTCTTGAATTTTTGGTAGTTTGTGGCAAGGGTAACAAAGGAAAAACTTAAGGTTAAGAATCTGATGGTGCAGAAGTCCTGGGCACCTACATCTACATTTAATGCAATCTAGCATCACAGATTCATGGCACCTTTGAAAATCAGCTCTAAAAAGATAAACCCCACCATTTAGCTGGACAAACTTGGTAATTAAAGATACCTAAAGGCTGTGATATTCACCTGAAGGAACCAACAAAGGGCAATTTAAACCTGAATCCCAAATAAAATGTTAAAGGACTGTCTTTAAGGAGATTCTGTGAGAAAACATCTTGCATAAGCAGGAAAGGTTTTGAACATCTCTTTTATTCCTTGGTATATAACCTCTTTCTGTCATTGAGGGCACTCAGACAGCTAATGAGGTAGGTATAGCACAACCAAGTCTTTCCTGATAAATAATGGTGATGGTAACACTTTCAACCTTATTGATTGGCCTAGAACAGAAATCATGATGATGATGGGTTTATGTATCCCTGAGAGGGAGTATAAAACAGGAAGAACAGGAGTCTTCTCCATAGATTTTGGGAGAAGGGCCATCACTTCACTGCCATGGTGGGAAACTGTGTTATATGAAATAAACGTATTTGCACAGCATTGCTGTGAGATATGCGTGTTTTATAGATGGGGGAGCCAGAAAAGTTAATTGACTTGCTTATGGCCATGAAAGCAGTCAGTGACAGAACTGCAATTCACGATCAGGACTTCCTTGCCTCCTGCTTCATGTTCAAAGTTATCTACTTCCTGGCCAGAAGCTCACTGCATGGTTGTTCTAACATACTGTATAAAGATAGTCATGCAAGGGATGTAGCACAAAGTCACTGAAGAACAGACCGCTCTCTGTACAAGAAAGCAGATTTCTTCTGGAAGCTGCATGTAATTGGGAACCTCTGGTGGGACGCACACATCTGGTTTCTTCACCCTGGAATGTCTGGTGCTTAAGGCTTAGCACAATGAGGACCATTTTAACAACTAAATGTAACAGAGATAGCCCATACAGGCATAAATTACAAGGTGTCTTGTAGCGGAACAATCTTTTCCCTATGCTCTTCTGACCCTTAAAAAACAAACATTAGCCTGGTTAATTCAGTGGACTCATCACATACAGCTATAGATCAGTTTATATTTCCATGTCCACAGGTCGGATATCTCCAGTTTTGTGTTCTTTTACCCACAGTTCCCTGTCTTTGGCAGGATCCACTTTCCGAAGCAATTGATCCACGAGTTCTACTGTCTAAAACGAACAAAACAAGAATCAAAATGTCAAGGGCACATTTCAAGCAGAGACAGTCATTGCTCTGAAGTGTAGACCAGCTATGGGCACGCCTACGTTGCGTTTGCAGTCAAGTGAGAACTGCGAGGCTTGGTGGACAACAGCCAGATCTGAATGTGAAGCCTCGTAGCGGGAAGCAGAGAAGAGGCAGACTTTTAACGTCAAGCAGAGACAGGCTTCCTATGCCAAGCATTGACCAGTCAGTTTCTGACTCCTGTCCTGCAATTTGTACCTTACACCAAATACAACCATGTACTGAGGTTAGCATTCATCCCCCGTATTTTAATATTTGAAAACTAGCCAGTTTTTTAATAGTAAGAAAACATATACTCCCTCCCCCAACAGTGAAACTATTTACCATCTTCCTTGCAAGAACAGATGACCTCAAGGAGTAGTGCATCATGCTAGGAGACTAATAATGGCTCATGTTGGCCAAATGTAATTCAATTCATTGTGTCTCCCCCAGCAAAAAGCTGTGATTCAGCAGTAGGAAATGTAACCAGGATCAGAGAGTCTTGGAGGAGCAGGACTGTAGGGTGGCAGTACAGTACTGCTGCAAACTAAAACTGACCGCATACGCTTTTCATACCTCCTTTTGATACACGTCAGTCAGATCAGAATAGGGACCATTCTGCTTAGCTGAAGTGCTGTAAAAACCACAGGGACCGAACAAAAAGCAGACTTACACTTTGGTTGAACATATCTGTCTCATGCCGCAGCTGTGTATACTGGCAAAGATGCTGCCGAATCATCTCCACCCTTTCAACTTCTAGTCTCTCAAGCTCCTGGACATGAAGAAAAACAAGTCCACATTTTTCTTGGAAACTGAGCTTGAAGGCCCAGGGAAAGGACGACACACAAAAGGTTGCCAGTCAGTGCAATACTACCCCAGGGTACATGCTTTGGAGCTGAACTCTATGGTTGCACATCCCTCTGATTTGCAGGGAATCAGAGACAGCAAGCAACAGAAGTCACTTCAGCCTGAGCCTAACAACAGAAAAGAAGGTCAAAAACTTTCCAAAACTGAGACAACCAAGGCAGAGAGAGGAACTGCTGTCTTCAGGGACGCTGCAAGCAAGAGGAAATCCGTTTCCTGCAAGAAGCTTTGCATGCTTTGTTGCTAGCTCCAAAAGTTATAGTGATTCCTGGGGAAAGCAGGAAACCATGTTGGGGTGTACAGTTCAGAGGGCCTGACTGCCCTCAGTCAAACCAGACACCTGTAAGAGCAGTTTTAGCTGTTCACTAGGTGATGAGCTGGGACAAGTCTCCACCTCGCTCAGCTGGCAGTAAGCAGACCCCAGCAACGCTTTAGTTGAAAAGGCAGGTGATATCTAACTTTTCTCCTGATTTTTTTCTGTCTCTTTCTTCTCCTGGATTCTGATATTATACCCCAAAATCTGCATTTAGTCCCTCCTCGTCCATCTGAGTGGTAGCAGTGGAAGCAGCATGCTAAGGAAGTCTGCCTTTAAAGACATATACTGTAATGGACTTTGCTATTTCACTAGAAAGCTCTGTGTTCACAGGGACATCAGTGGGGCCAAATCTTAAAACAACTGCCTTCAGAAGGCATTTCTGGTGTCCACTTACTGGGCATCATGGCAGAGTGCAACGTGAGCATACAAAAGCAGGCAGGCTGCTACATTGCCTTCCCTGTGCTATCTACAATTTGTTAAACGTCTTTCGGGAAACATCCTTCATTACAGCACAAAAATCTCAGGTGGCAGACTATCTGCCTGGGGAGGAAAAAGAGCAAAGGAGCTTATGGTATGGACAGGACTGAAATACACTGAGCTCCTATTGCTGTTGCCGGTTGATGTACTGCCCTTATGGAAAAAATGGCCCACTTTGAACTCAGACTCCCTTACTTAGGGCACAGATGCGCAGGACCAAAATGCAGAACCCAGTGTGCTAGTGCTGGTAAGCGTGCCATACGCAGAACGTGCATTATGTCTGCACCAGAAACTTCAGGGAGGAAGGTATGCAAGGAAACACAAATCTTCAGACCTTGACTCTCTCAACTTTCTATTGCATACAAACTAATCTTTATCTGAGCTGATCAGATGCAGATTGTTTTTCAATTTAGATTTTATATTCATGTATACCAAGACTTACCTTCAAATGCTTCTTAGCCTGAGTTTCACAACTGACAAACCTGCTGTGCAGCCTATAGGCTATGACTTCCCTCTTGAGCTATCTACTAGAGCACTTCTGAGTCGTACTTCTCCAGGAGCAAATATGCAGCTAACACATATCTGGCTGTATCTGGACACAGTGGCACTGATGGTCAGTGTCATTTGCATCAGTGAGAAAACACCAGTGAATGTTAGAGGAGAATCAGATCCCTTATGTATAGGAACAGCCAACTTTTTCTCTTTTGTTCTGCTTTTGGGAAGATAACTGCCTCCTGGTTTTCCACTCACCCACCTGCCTTTATTTACTGCAGTTTAAATATTCCACTGACACACTTCCAAATGCTGAGGAATGTATTACCTTGCTTCTTATTAGGAGGAGTTTACAGTTTTGTGTTTGTCCAATGACAAAAATACATGCAAAAGACATTTTTATTTCCCACTTCTGAAAGCAATTGGCTGTTGTCCAGAAGGGCTCTTAGGAATGACATGAGGGAGGAGCCCTAAAGCCAAAGTACAGGTATTTCAAGGAATACAGCACATCAAACCTGTATCTTGGAATCTTGGTGACTAACCCCAAAGGTATACGCCCTTACGGTGAATACTGTGAGCTGTGTTAACTTCAGAGACACAGAACAATAGGCAATTAAAGCATGCCTCTTCTGAGCTGGCAATACTCGTGAAGAAATCGTAAAATCATGGAATACAAAGATTCATTAATGTATAAATGGATTCAGTGATTTATCCCATGTTTTTCCATGTCTTCCTCGTGCATTACTTCATCCTTCCTGGGGCCAACTCCAGCGTTCTGGCCCCTAAGCAGCCCTGAACTGGTTTAATGCCTTCTGCAAAGAAATAATTATTTCTTCCTTCCCCTAATGATACAAGTTTTTCTTAGAACTGAGAATGGGAAATTTATCACAATGGGAGATTTATCACCCAATTTTTCCCACTGCTTTGCACGGTAACTAGGTATGAGTGATGAATGTTGTACACTGTTACAATTTCACAATATTATACATGTAAGATGCTACACAGAGTTACATACTAGAGTGGTGGTCACCATTTCCTCAAACCACTTGGACTGGGCTTGATTGTAAAGATCCACGCAGCGCATCAGGTCATCTCCTGAAAAGTTCAAGATAGCAACACATTAGTCTTCTCTAGCCAGTGTTATGGAGCTTAGAAGGAAACTGCAGTTCAGGTTTTGTAGACAGACCCAGAGGGTTTGAAGGTCAGTCCTGGTGGAGCTGAAGGCAGTTCTGTTACATGGCATTTGTTAAGTGCAACAAAATGCATGCACTTGATGTGTGGTAAAAGATCAGGTGATTGGGATGAGAAAGAATGAGGGGGAAAGACAAGATTTTAAAAGGAAAATATGAACACTAAGCAATATTTTAGAAAATGCTCAGAACTATGAAAGCAAGTTACTTCAGTTAAAAAAAAAGGTCATGACAGAAAGTTATATCTGAAAAATAAAATCATTAAAATGGGAAATCAGTAATAATGAGTTATTGAGCTGCAGGGTAGCACTCTGTAGGTGTAGACTACATTCTAAGACAGGTCTGTTTAAAATGGTAGCAAAGCATCAGGCTCAAGCTGTCTGAGATTGAGGGACACTTATTTGCAACCTCAACCCAGCTGCACACTCATGCATTCTCCAGCCTCTGAAGATGCACGATTCCAGTCGAGCTCTGGCTTCTTCCTGTGTTCAGGGCAGTAACACAATAAGCTGCAATTATTTCAATTTTTTCTTTGTTGCAGGACTCTGCTCTGACAGAGAGGGAAAGGTGGGTAGAAAATTTGGAAGGCATGTCACAGAGATTACTGCTTTCCGGCTAGTAAATTCTTTCTTCTTTAAATGAGCCTCAGTTACACTTTCCCTAATGGTTTGATGCCTAGGTCCAGGGCTCAAGTTTATCCTGTTCTTTTAGGTGCAAAAAGGCCTTTCTACATGAACCAGGGCAAATCAAGCTTTAAGAACAGGACTCCATAGACCAAATAAGTGTCAAAGAAGTAAATGCATCTGGAAGTCTCTCAAGGGACTTAGAACTTGGGGTGGCAACCGAACTCTATGAAAAAAACAGGATTCAGGGCTTAAAGCTCTGCAATAAGCTTATCCACCCAGACAGGGGATGCCTAGTCTGACATGACAAGTCCGAACTAATGGCTGCCACACTCCAGGAGGCTCCTTGGGAGCTATCTGACTTGGGGTTATACCACCCACCTGAGTGAATCTGAGCCACTGCACAGCCAGGAAAATGAAAGCCGTGAAACACATGAACAATCCATGGGAGCAGAAAGCAATACCACCTATCAGTAAGCAGTGGGATCATAGAAGGGCTCTGGTCTATAGCCCTCTAGTCCTATCGTCCACTTGCAGCAGGCCTCATTTCAAAGCTAGATCACTATATGCTGCTGCTGTGCGCATCGCAAGCACCCCAGCTGGGCTGCTGGGTAGCACTACCTGCGGGGATGGGGCAAGTCCTCCCCTGCCACATACCGAAAGAGTGGCACAAAGTGGGGGAGAGTGATGGGAAGACTCACACCAAACTCTGCGTTACTCCCATTTGATCCTCAGCTCTCCCTTGCTTGTTCAATAAATACCTATCACAAACAATTTCTGAGGACCCAAGAAAACACAGAGAGGCTGTGAATTTGCAGATGGATAAAGAGCATCTCTCATGGAGCCTCCTGTTGCTAACATATAACTTCTGTTTCTCCTCAAATGGTTGTCTATACACATGGTCACACTGCAAATGATTCTTCTCAGTCTCCTCAAAACCCAGACAGGCTATCCTGAAGTTTTAAAAGCCTCAGAACTATGGAGGACCACTCTGCCAAGGAACGGACCTATGAAGGGATGAAACATGGAAGCCCTAGTTAAAACATATTTTCAGCAAAGGTACTAACAGAGCTGCACATATCAGCTTTGCAGATCTCAAGAAAGACAGCTCCTGATGGATCCTGCAGAAGTAGTTTAAGCCTCTGTAAAACACGCGTAGGTCACATCAAGTAGATGTGTCCTCAGTACAGTATAGTACACACTACTATATCCTCAGTATCCCTTGAACAGAAATCATTTTAATCACTGAGTAGCAGTGGAAAAAAGACAAAAAGTTCACTTTCAAGGTATAAGACAGTAATAGGAAGCATAATAGGCACCCACGTACTTGTGGGTGACCGTGATTTAGGAAAGAACCAAGGAAGGAACTATGATTTAAGGAAGAAACATCCTCAGCTGAGCTTCTTTGAATCTGACTTTGAAAGTTTCACGAGCTTTCAGTTATCTCAGCACACTTTCACAAAATGAAAGGACAATCCACCCTCCTTTTACTGTTCTCACCCCAATTATCAAAATCATCATTTGGAATGTCTGACTTGGAAAAACTGGGCTTGTTTCTTCAGAGGATTTAATATCAAACAGATTTGTAGCATGGTTCACTTTGACTTTGTAGCTATAACATTAAAAAACAAGAAACACACAGACGGATGGGCAATTGCATCCCATGTTGTTCCTGCCGTCCATGGGGCTGCTCGCCTCCGGCCGCTGACAAACACAGGTACTCACCCGCCTGAGTGGACTTCCGTCTCGCCTTCTTAATTTCCTCTTCTGTCTTGTTGCTAAGCTTCACCTCTAGCTGCTGTGTTTTCATTTCCAGATCCTTCTGTCTCTCTGTCAAGGCTTTCCGGGCCTTGGAGTAATTAAAGAAGAGTCACATGTTTTCAAGGAAAAGAGCTGCCAGCTGCTTTCAGCCATCTATGACTCCTTCACACAAGTAAGAAGTTAGGGACTCTGCATAAAACTGGGTCCTAACTGGGATTCAAGTTCTTAGGACACCATGTAGTGTTCAAAGAAGTGTCCTACCACCATACAGAAGTTGTTACCAATAAATCACAAAAGCATCTGAATACTTCATAGGTTCTTAGAAAGGTACAGTACAAAAGGCATCATCAGACTTTCATGTTTCTTAATAACTTTCTCACTATTTCTGGAAGAAAGGGGAACGGGAGCTTCTTCCAAATGTCTTAACCAGTATCACCAAGACACCTCTTCCATTTGCTTTTCTTAGGATCTAAATTGTTGAAAGAATTTCAAGTATCTTACAAAATTTATTTTTAAGTACCTTCTGGATTCAATATACACTTATCAGAAACTCTAACAATAGAAACTGTTAGACTTATTTCAGAAAAACTAATTCAGGCTTATGACAACAGCAGTTCGTACTGTAGAAATCAAGAACCTGAGACCTGGTTACAATTGATTATTTAAATTACTTTACTTTAAAGTCCTTCAGGCTTTTAAAACCTGATTTATCAGTATCATTACTGAACTTACACAGGCAAATTAGTGAAGTGTCTTAACAAATAAACATCATTACCACATATGCATGCTGTCACCTCATTTGCTGAGGTTGCCTAAATACATAAAATAAAAATAACTTGTTTTGCATGGACTTGTTATAAAATAGGTCACATTTGTTCCCAGGTATAGTGTTTAAAACTAAATTTGGATGATTATACTTTTGTTAGCACTTTGCAGTTTTCTACACTCATACCAGCCTGCCAGTTACAACGCTTGAGGCATTACCTGAATTTTTTCAATTTGCAGTTTTAAAGACCCTGTGCTTGGTTCGGCGGGTCGCAAGAGGGAGCTGCAGGAAAGCAATCTGGTGAGAAGCTGTGTGCTTCATCAGGCACACTGCGGACATGGCTTTTCCCTTTTTTTATTCCTTCTTCTCAAGGCTATTCTAACTCATTCTTTTCAATATCCCTATTGAGGACTGTGTTTCTTTGCAGATACGACTGTGAAGAACTTGTTTTGCAGAAAAATGCCTTCCCTGCATGCAGTCTAATAACCTTGTGTATCCTGCAACAATTCTGTCCCTGGGCGAACTTTCTCATGTGCGCTCTGATCTTTAATGAAAGCCCAAACAACCTTCTAGGTTGACTGAGCATGGTATTTTCCTTTACAACTTACACCCAAGAGCAAACTGCATGAGGATACCATTTGGCATAAGCGTCTTGGCATCCGAGGCATGAGTAACCTGTTTCCTGCCAACTGCTGATAAGAGAGTACTTTTTGTGGGTATCTCTCCCTAAATCACAACCTCAGCTACCTACTGGGTGTTCACGTTACAACAGCCCCTAACGCTAGGGTGCTGCTGATGTTTGGGTTTTTCAGGTGAGGATGTTTGCTGTGAGGTGCAGAAAATGGGAACTGGGAGAGGGTTTGTGTCTTGCTGTGCCAGGTTCGAGCTGGCTTCCTTGGCCATCTGCTTTTGGCCATTGCATGAGAGGATAGTGAGCCAGGCGAGCCTTTGGCCCGACCCTGCTGCTATTCTAAGGCAAGGTTTTTTAAATTTTGAGGGCAATAGATGTGAATTCCAGATGCACACGAGCAAGGAGTATTTTTATCAAATGCATCAGAAATATATTTTCCCAAATTGGGAAGGGGAGGATGAAACAAAAAGCCAAGCCAGTTCAGCAGTAACGCGTTAGCCCTGCCTGTAGCCCCCAGTTTCCCAAATCTCAGCTAAGCAGCAAACCACATCAGGGGCCTGGCAAAGCATAACTAACAGCAGAAAGCACTCAGCAGAAACCTTTGTGGTTCTTCATTGCAGAACAGAAACTTTTCACGGGGCAGCTGCTTTTCTGTCCAAACCAGCAGTATCTCATAAACTCTCCAGTTTGTTCTCTGCTCCCACCTTTTCAACTGCTGCATAGCGGCTGGCCAGATGCTTCCGTAAGTCTGCAATATGGTGGTCACACTTCTTCATGTCTTTCTTAAAGTTCTCTCTGAAGTTGAGCAGGGGTTTCTCTACCTCGCTCTGAAGCTGGTAATGAAAACAAAGGAAGAAATGGCAATAATGAAGAGCTGGGCAGTAATTCAAGGCTCTTCTGCTGAGCAGAGCTCAGGAAAGAGAGGAAACAATACACACACTGCAGCCAAAGGCAATGTCATACAGCAACACTTCTCTTCCCCAAGAGAGCTCTGAGTGAAGCTACTGCAAAACTCAGCTCTTTGCAGGACAGCTCTGTTAAGGGAATATTTACTGAAGGCAGCAAAAGGACAGAAATATTGTCTTCCTCTCTCGCTGTTAAATCGTATCTTTCTTCTTACAGATAAGATCAAACTGCAGGCAATATCCAAAGCACTAGTTGAGGTGCTCTGATTCTGGCCTAACTGATGCAACTTGCTTAAAAAAAGATCAAAGTACACAAACTAAAGCCGCTAACCCTGACTGCAACAAGGTGAGTCAGTGGACTGTGGTGACAAGTCTGCATTTCTTGTATAGTGAAAAGAGATCCATTAAGGGCACATTTTATTTATTTCTGTCAAGTATAAGGGAGCCTAAAGAGAAGCCCAAGTATTTAGTTGAAACTCTTTTAAGTAGTGGCAAGAAACCACTGAAATGAACTCAGGGGACATCCATCAAGACTGGACATGTGACTTATCTCTTACAAGCAGGACTTGACAGTCGGTAACACTCAACTCTGACAGAGTTTGTATCATATTGCTCTTTGGCCTTCTGATACAGTTTTGACACGTAGGAAACGTGCTCTGAAAGGATACATATATTTCACCTCCCCAGAAGCAACCAAATACTTCTTTTCTATTGTCCCTCCTGTGAGAATGCTGGACTTCGTCAATGTAGGTGAGTTGGGTCCGTAATCACCTAACATGCCCCACAATGGAGTAGTATTAAATAGTCCTTGAAAGCAAATATTTTCAGCCTTTCAGTGCTATTTTAATGGAGAAAGAAACTTCATTCAAGCTCAGTACAGCCTTTTAATGGAGAGAGGCTACAAAGACAGCCAAGGCCCTATAGCACGCATCCTGGAGAGGTAAATAAGCCTACAGCAGAGCTTGTTTAGGCAGATGAAGACTGGCACCATGGTGATCTAATATGGCCTACAGCTATCTGAAGGTCAGATGCAAGGGTAACAGAGCCAAATTCTTCTTTGCAGGGCCAGATAATGTCACAACAATGTAATTTAAAAAAAAAAAAAAAAAAAAATCACCAGAATAGTAGCTGCGCACTAGAACAGGTTGACCAGAGAGATCATGAAAGCTCTGACCTTAGAGATATTCAAGACTGCTAGACAAAGATGTAGCTGACTTGATCCACTGTGGGTGATGGTCCTGCTCCGACTAGGGGGGGTGGACTAGAAAATTCTGGACAATATTTTTATGACAGTCTCATCAGGATGGCCCCAGGCAAGCTAATAAAGAGCTGTTAACAATTCTGTTACAGCATGGTTACACAAGCTCTCTCAAGAACAGAGGTACAAACTGACAGCTGTGCCAGTAGCATTGTCAATGCTCAACAAAACAAGAACTGGAACAGAGAGAAGTTCAGGATGGCTTCAGTGAACTCCAGAGGCAATTATAATTGATAGAAATGTCTGTGTCCAACTGAGTTTGAAATAGCTAAACAATCTGCGTGCCCTTCAGACTGCTCCGTTAATAAATGGATTAACCTGGGTAAACAACCCAATATGAGTCAATCATACTCAGTGAAAGAAGTGGCAACCTGACTCATCTGACATAAGCAGGCATTGCTGTGAAAAAGCTTACAAAAAATCCCCAGGGCCACGGACACACCAAAGAGGAGGGCATTTCACTAGTAGTTTTACTTGCATTAATAGAAAGTAGAAGATATTTGTTTATTTCACATGGTTTATAACGGGACAGGAAATTCCAAGATCCATAAAGATGGGAAACGCACCACCAGGAGGCTCAAAATGCAAAAAAGGCAACTGCTTTCTCCAGTTTTGTGTTCTGGGAATCAAAGAGGCGGACTTCTCAGTGAAGGCAGCCATCTTTCCTCTAGCATCATTATCCCGCGTGAACTTCCATCTTGCAAGAGGTACCATAAGCTATCAAAATAGACTGATATGTGAATACCCAGGCTTTTAAATGTTGCATTATAGTCGGCCATATTTATTCTTTTTTCTTTTTTTTTGTTAGAAGATCTTGCTAAAAGACTTTCAAATGCATGCAATAGATGAAAAAAACATAAACTACTTTCCTAAGATGAAGGGATTTAAAGCACCAGTGCATACAGACAACTCTGACACTTACCCATCACTGAATGGGTGAGATGTGACAAAGGACTTGAAATCTCAAGAAGGTTGCTAAAAGAAGTTATCAGGTATAGGACAGAGACCCTGTATCTCTGTACCAGTATGGTAGAGACTTAGGCAGAAAGACAGAGGCATAGGGTTAATCATAGTATTAGATGCTGGAGAAACTACACAGCTAAGTTATCAGAAACCACACTTCAAAAATTCCTCTGATTTCACAAGTACTAATTTTTTCCTTTGCTCCATCAACCATTTCCAAAATGGCTGGTAACACACCATCATATTCAGGCCAGCCCACCATGACTTCAACTAGTACAACACATGTGCATCTTCTCTTCCAGCAGAACTCACCTCCTCGCGCTCAGTGAGGGATAATCAGATAGCTGGAGAAGAGGTTCTTCTTGAAGGATTCCTCGTGTGCATGTATCTACGGCTGCCATGCCAGTCTGTACAGGCATTAGTAGTGTAATAATATTTTATGTTCCAAGTGCCACGAGAATGCTGTCACCTTCTCCGATCTGTTCATGACCCCCAATGTAAGTGCCGTGAAGGACTGTCACAAAAGTTGTTCAATGTCTTCATGGTTGGTGTTTATATTTGAGTATTCTTGGTGTGCTCTGCACTGTACTGACTGCTTTGTGCCAGCACTGACTGGTTTCGTTTGACTATCAACGAGAAATATAATTACTACTTCTAAGAATAACTTTTCTGAAAGTAATAGCAATAATCAATACGTTTAAAAACATAGTCTGTTAATAAAAGAAAGCCGGAACTAAGAACTCCCACAGCAGGTACGGGAACAGTGGGGAGAGTTCAGAGGATGCTACAGGAGTTTCTGTGCAGGGTTTAAGGAAAAGTAAAATCATGAAAGAGCCCCTATACATTGCCTGCCTACATGCACACACCACTCCAGGGTGCATTTCTTCCTCTTGGAAAACAATACGAGAGGACAACGGGGAGCAAAAGTATTTCACTAATTACAGCCCTGAAGTAGAAGTTCGAAGCAGAGCAGTGGGTTACCAAGGCAGCAGCTGGTTGCCTGAGTAACTTCTGCATAATCACTTACAAACAGTACAGAGCTATAATTTTCCTCCAGAACATGGCTGTTGTGCTGAGATATCTGCCCTTGTATTGAACCTGATCACCCACAGGGGTTAACATAATGAACAGGACGCAGGAGTATGTCACATGTGGTGGAAAAACCCAGATAAATACCATAATTTGTATAAGAAATCTCCCTGGGCATTACTTGAGAGAAGATCCAAAAATAACATGAAGTTCCCAGTGTAGTTTTCAGAAAGGCTAACGATACGAAGAACTCAGAGTCCTGGTTCTCTTCCTTCCAGACAGATACAGTAGACTCTTGTTGGAAAGCCAACTATTACGTTTTATTTCTTCCTCTACAGAAGTAATCTGTACAAGCTCTAGGTAAATTTACTTGAACAGGCTGGAACTTAGAGCCCTAGATGAATAACCTCTAGAATCAGTTTTCCTTCTTTTTTATGAAAAATTAAGGCTAGATGTGTTTTAAGTTACTCATCGGGTAGATTAAATAAACTATGATTTTGGCAGGAAGAATGGATAGAGTTTCAGTAAGTTTGTTCACCGACTTATTAATTCTTCTAAATTTGTACCATATGCATGTGTATTTTCCCCCCTAACAAGCACTGAAGGAAGATCCACATCAATTACAGGGCAAAAATCTTTGCAAAAGGAAGAACTATTTACCTTAGAAGAAAATTTGAGATGAACCTCTGCTTCATCAGCTAGACTCTTCTTTAGCTGAGCCCAAGCCTCCCCTAGTGTACTGAAAGAACACAGAGAGACAATGATCAATGTTCTGTCTTCTGCACATCCTCCTGCAAGTCTGCAAGATTTGTCAGATAGTTTCAGATAGATATGGTAGAATGCTTTGCCCCATATCATGCTCAGCAAAATCATGGAAAAGGGATAGCAGAAATCTAATAACATAACCGACCTCTGTGACCAAGGCAAAATTATATTGGCACTGTATGTAGCAGATCTTTGAAAACACTGTTCATAACCTCCAGTTACAGAGATGCCACAGTCTTATAAGCAAGATACTTCAGTATCTTATCCTTACCATAACAAAGTTTTTCTTTTCTAATCCTTAAAATAAATGTTCACCAATGCAGTTTTCCCATTGCCTCTTCTACTTTACACCCTACCTTTGGTGAACAGATTATTCTAGTTCTCCTCGGAGAAGCCTTTCAGTATTTGAAAATTACCAGGTTTTTTCTGCACCTTCTTTTTCCAAATTATTTTCTAGACAACGGCGGTTCAGGTATGCTTCTCTAGACCCTCTCCAACAGCCTAGAGTCCTCTTAATGCGTCATAACCAAACCTACACTGTCTTCCAGCAGAGGTCTCCCAGTTGCTAAACTGGTAACAGATTATTTCGTATCAGACACTCTCTCTTCTACATATCTCAGTATGATTGCTTTTTCAGACAACAGCGTGAAGTTGTTGATGAATAAGCTTGTGATTCACTATAGCCAGATCCTTCTCCCACAAACGGTTATGTAACTGTATCTTTCACATCCTGTGAAAGTATTAAACCTGGTACTTTGTCCTCATTGAAATGCATCTTAATTTTTTTCAGTTCACTTCTCTAGTTTAACAAAATAATTCTGAACTGCAACCTCTTCTTCAAATTGTACAACCATCCCTCCTAGCTTTGTCTCATCTCTGATTACAGTAAACCCACTATTTATTCTATCATAAGTCATTAACAAAAACATGGAAAAAAATCTGGGCTTGGGACAAACCTTATGGGATCTCACTCCATAGCTACTTTCTGCACTTTAATTTTTGTAAGTAGCAGGCATGATTTCTTACCTAGTTTTTGCACCTTAGGCTTTATTTAGGCTGCGTTTCTCTTGGCTGCCTACAAGAATCTCCCACTGCAAAAAGCTATACTAAATTAAGAGCTATGATGCTGACTTCTTCTGTTATTCCGGAGGAATTTAGGTTGGTTTGACATTGTTTGTTCTGTATGCATCCACAATAATTGCTTATCACCTGAGTTTTCCGCTGAGTGCTTCTAGAAAACTTGATGGTTTATTCTACCACTTTGCACAGGTTATATAAAGCTGACCAATCTACAATTTCCCTGCTCCTTCTCTCTCTCCCCCACCCCCTTTTCAAACATAGTCATATTTGTCCCTTCCTGATAGCCTGAAAAATAGCCTGTCATCTGCAATGTCAAAATAATGATCTGTAATCTCCGACATTGCTCCAATGAGTTGAGTCCTCAAGTATGGTGTTCATCACAGCTAAACAACCTGAAATTGTTTCCACTACATAAGTGCTCCCAACTCTCCTCCTTCCCTAGTCCCACCCTGAGGTCCCCTCCCACTGTCCAGTTCTCACGAACTATTTTATCTGATCTATTTAAGTAAAGAAGGCATTTCAGCCTGCTAAGCATCGTCTGCATCTCTTATCCAACCACAATGACTTAAATGACCATGGATTGTATCACTTTCTGTGTACATGCAGCACCACCGTACTCACAGAAACCTGGACAGAACCATCCCGATACCACAAATCGGTCTCGTCACCCTCGCGTCCCACTCACATACATGAATCGGTCTCATCTTGTCACCCTCGCGTCCCACTCACATACATGATGGTGGGTCTTCTTACCACCAGAAGGAGGGCTGAGGACCCTGGAGGGACAGCCCATACTTTGCATCGATTCCATAGACCGCTGGACAGCAAAGCTGGAAAATGCTCTGTGGAGTATGAAACCAGCAGTGGTAACCAGTGTGTTCACAGAGCAGTTCATGGGGTCCTCTGACTCACACCTTCTCAGAAATGAGAAGACGACCCTGGTGAATGTTTACTTTGAGTGTGCTAGGCTGCAGTCCCGCTTCTGGCTCCTTCAAATCCTCCTGTTGCCTACTCTTCCTCCCTCACTTTTTTAAATGGAATTTTTCCCTTTCCTGGGCCTCACCAATAATGAGGATCTTCTCACTAGCCTCTTCCTGGTCCTAGCCAATTTGGCCACCACAGCACCTTCCATTCCCTCATCTTGCCACCTCTCCAGGCAGAGCACCACCGGGCAGTGTTCCTAGCTCCCTGCACTCTGCTCTGTGTCCCCTTCAGTTCCCTACTTCAACATTTTTTTATGCTTCAGTCCTTATTCCCTCTCTTTTCATCTACTCTCCCCTAGTTTCCTTCCCCTTCGTTTTTTTCAGGCATTTCCCCCTTCTCCTATTGGGGGTAGGAGAAAGTGGGAGGAGGATGTGGAAGAAAGAGGTCCTGCTAGGACCAGGTTAACACCCACACCTAAAGGGGAAAGAAGAACAGAAACCATTGTCAGTGTAGGTGCTTAGAGAATTAACAGCCTAGTTAGCCTCTTGAAATTTCTGTCCTTGCCTACTGGAAGCTGAGCAAACACCTCGTGGAGCTCCACTACCAGTAGAAACACACTGTGTCAGAACTAGGGTGAAGACAGTCATTTCCAACCTTGGCTTTCAGTACTTAGAGGGTTAGAACAGATTGAGCTAACAACTTCTAATCCTTCAGGAGAGGTGTCTTTTCATTATTACTAAAGAATTACAATCTAGTCTCAAGTGCATTGCCTAATACCTTCTTAACAACTTCCAAAGCGCGAACATGCTGTAAATAAGGGACAACCTGCTGCTTTTCTTGGAGGGCCAGACCCAAGATGAGAAGAGACTTCTTCCTCCCTCTGTATGTGCTGCTCCAATTCTACTGGCTTGACCTTATGGATCTACTATCAGCAGTATATATATTCCATATGTTCTTCCATATTCAAAGTAATTTAGTACTTATACATGCTAATCCCTAAAGGAACTAGTGCCAGCTAGAACAAGGACAGCATAAACACATTGTCAGAAATGCAAGGTTTTATCAAAAGAAAAATATTCCAAAGCAATTCTATCTTCCTCAACACACCCAGGATGCCAAGCTAAATAAACCTGTACTCAATGGAAGAACTCAGGAAAAATACATGTACCTGTGTGGGAGGAATGCCTTTTATGTTAAAATTCTTGTCTTCTGCAAAAGTCACAGAGACACACTTACCCTTCTTCCTGAGCAGCCAAGGAATTCTGAGACAGTTTGGACAGGTTCTTAGCATACTCCTCCTCAATCTTTATCCTACACTCACACACACACAAAGACAGAGAAAATAAAAAGACAGCAGTAAGTAAGCTTTAAGGCAGAAACCCACACACGTAATTTAAAGAAATTCTCTGCATTTTAACAGATCTTGCCGCAGGAATTTTCCTTTCAGTCTCCAGGGCTTGGCAGCACCAGTTTCAGGATCCATCCCTCCCCTCCATATGCTAAAAATGCAATGGCAAGAGCAGGGATATATGCAGGACAGCATGTGTGATAAAGTTAGAAGAAAAAAATACAGTTCTGGAGAGCAAATAACAAGGACAAAGTGTTTCTACTGTGCAACATGGACTGCCTGCAAAATTGGGCTCACTTGAGAAGCGTGTGTTTCAGTATGCTGCTAAACGTGAGGTCGCACATCCTTGAAGCAAAGATGAAGGAACGCAGCGATACAGAAGAAATCTAAATAAGGTTTGGGGTGCTGGACGGCGCCTTTCCTAGGGACACCGAATGTTTTCTGCTCCCTGTTACAGACAACAAAGCCGGTGAAGATGTGGCAGGGGCTTCTATCACCGACAGGCCCTGCCCTTCACCCATCCCACCCACTGCCCTGTCCTTGTCTCCTCTCCATTCACTCAGCAGCACCACACCAGGAACAGGATCTGAGCTTGCCAGCGGTGAGGGTGCAGAAGAGGGAAGCTGTTGGCACACAACCGCTATGGGAATGGCTGCAGGGAGAAGAACAAGCGTAGCTGTTGAGCAAGGGGTCAAGTGTAAAAGCTGATTGCACAGCAGGGAGGAAAGGAGCAGCTGCTGGTTCAGAGGTGATGTGCATTATGCCTGAAACCCACTGCCGGCTCCCCTGAGTTCTTCTCCTAGTGAAACATTTGCAAAGTATACATGATCCCAACTAGGGCAAACAACTGGCTATTCGCTGGTTGTCGAACCAGCTTGCTCAATAGAGCATCTCCAAGAGAGAACTGAGTGGCACCCAGGTGGAACAACTCCTGATTCTGTGCTAACTATGTACAAGCAGGGGAAAAACCTGGTTTGAAATCCATCTCCTTCCAGTGAGAAGACAGAAGGTGGGATATTTTTGGCACACCCATTTGCAGTAACTAGTTGCGCAAGCTCTGTTATGCATGGCACATTCGAGACAAAAGGGGTCCCCTGAGCCAGCTAAGAGGGGTCTGATATTCTGGGCTGCTGAAAATCTGGATGTCACTCTGTGGAATGTAGCTGGCTGAGGCCCACAGTGATACCCAGCTCGGTATGGCACAGTACAACTACAGACTTCACCCAGCATGTGGGGGTCCTCTTCTTCCTGCTCCCGTGAGAACAAAACCAGCCAGCCCCCAATGCCTGCTGTAGCAAGACCAACAAATACAGTTGTCCAGCACCAAAGGCTACGCTGTGGTTAGGACTTCACTATGAAAAGGGCTTTATCCAGGCACATTTCACCTGACTTACTTTAAATACCTTCTTTAGGATGAGACTAATCTTGTCTTAGAAGTGACAATTTCTACAGACTGGAAAGGGAGCATAGGTCAACTATAATGAAGATGCAAATGTCTAAACGTAGCTGAGATAAATACCTAAGTGTCCAGCCCAAAGCTAGGGCTCACTGCTTTTGCCTCAGTTACCAGGAGTTCCCAACCAAAGCTCTAGTCTACATCCTTCATGCAACTTTGTTCCTGCTGGATTTTGGCTTCAGGGTGCCTTTGAGTGATTTACTTGTGGATGGTAGGTGTGCAAATGTGCTAGCTGGTCTGCTGACTGTTCTGAGTTGCCCATACAGACAGACCCACACAGAATCTGTGTCTCAGTCCTTCATCTCATGAGCAGAGGAATAACCATCTTCCATCATAAAGGTTCACTGTGAAAATAATGAATTGAAAACCCTGTGAAGTTCTTCCTTGATATTGCTGTAGCTGGGGAAGACAAAAGGAAGCCTCATGATCTTCACAATCACACATAAGACACACTATGTCTTCTGCCATCAGTGCCATCACCCTAATTGCAAAGCCACTGGCTTTGATGGAAGTGGTCCTCACCAGTCCCAGCTTTGGCCCAGGCTCTGGGATTTCAAGTGTTACTTGTACTGCAGGTCTATGGCACTACTAATAGGGCAGACTGCCTTGGCAAGGAGGAATAACAATAAAAAATAACAATAAAAAGATGAATTGCTTATTGCTTAAGAGCCCCAATTATAAGACATAAATTGCTCCACCCCAGCCTGGCGTCCTGTCACCATCTGTGGCCAAAACACCTTGAACACCTCAAAAGATGCTAAAAACCAAGATGAAGATATATCTCAAAAAGGGAAAAAAATATGCCTCCTGGTCCTGGCTGATATAAACACCCTGCAAACTCTGGATTGCGGTGACTGTGAAACACCAACACACTAATACACAGGGACTCCTAAGCCTTGTAAGCCTACCTCCAGAAATCCCCACGACTGTTTCACAGTTACTCCAGCTTCACACCAAAAAAAACCCAAGTTTCTTGTTTCCACTAACTTGTTTGAAAACTTTCAGAATTTCACTCCCTGTGTAATCAGAAGCATTACCGATGATAAGTGCATTTTGACCCATACTGTCTTAACTTTATTAGTTCTAGTTGCTCTTTGGATGATTATTCTCTGCTCTCTTAGGCTTTTTTTTTTAAAATAAAGTACTTCGTGTGCCCACGCTCAAGTAGTTTCAGTCACGCCACGTTATAATGGATGAAGAAAAACTAGAGAGCTACAAAGGGAGGCAAAGGTGATCGGATGTGACTATCATGCAAGAAGAAACTAAATCCATTAAGATAACATGGGGAACACAGAGAAAAGGTGATAGAGGATATCTGACAGACATCTACACAACTGTCACTGCGTGAAGACAGTGACTATGAGTCTTTTTACACTATTTCTCCAGATTAGGAGGCAACAATGAAATTATCAGACAACAGAAGCATAATTACTTTTCCTGTCGTGCATAAATTGCAGAAGGCTGCTACAAATTGTTGCAGTGGTCAAAAATATAAAAAGACTCAAAAGGATTAGACAAACAGTGGAAGATGTTTACAAGTATCTGCTGAACATGGCAGACCTAAGGCAAACTCTGGCTCTGGAAATCCCCAAAGTTCTGGTTATTGGAAGCTGGGAGGACAGAGACTCTCATGCTCTTTTCCTCTTACACACTCAGTACTGTCATGGTCAGATTAAAGTCAGTGGGCTAGACAGACCTTCATCAGACTCACTACAGCCATTCTCCTGCTTGTGTTTCTTTTCATGTAGCTAAATAATCTGCTATTTATTTTAAATTTTTGAAGCATAGCCTAGCTCAATTAAAAAGTGAGTGGCCAAAAGCCTAAGACAATGTTCCTTCGCTAATAAAAACACCACTTCTTATACTTGGAGAGACTGATGCTATTCAGGGCAATCTGCAGATTTTCTTGGCTGTTTTGGAGTGCTTCCTTGAATGCAAATGCTGGACCATATTTTCACTTTTGACTTAAAGTAATTCTTTCCGTCTTTCACACCCACATCCTTGATCTTTCAGTTCAGTCAATTTACTAATTATTTTCCTCTCTTTCTTAAGGTCTGCCTTATTAAAATTCGAAGTCTGTATTATAACCCTACCTTTCTCAACAAGAACTGAATGAACACATAATTGCTCAGTCTAAGATTGCTATTTACAAGTAGCTCCTCTAAAAGCATCTACTTGATAAACTAAGTTTCAGTTAGTTTTTGGTTATTTGATGAAGAAATCTGGTTATCGTGCTCATCCCAGCTTCCTATTTAAAGCTATTTTTATTAGCTGCCTGAACCTCACCTCCAGAAGGCTGGTTGTACAGATGGAGAGAATTTTTCGGGACATGAAAACCCCTAGTTAAACTTGGTCTTGTATTCCCCGAACCACCTGATGGTCATCAAGAAAATCTTATCAGTACTTCTTACAAGTCTATGGGGCCGGATGGGA